AAACCTTGCCACGCAGACCCGTTACACAAAATAATGCTGGTTTTCCACCACTGAAATGCAGCATGTCTGATAAAACATGCAGCCATTTAAAGTTGTGTGCCTACAGAAAGGATCTTTGTGAATAACTTTTGAAATGAGAAAAAAAAATAATTCCTCCCTTCATGTGCGAGCCACTCACATGGACAGTCACAAGAAGACCCTTACACACTTCCCTCCTATGATGGGATTTCTTGGCCTTTCAGCTGAATATTTAGGGCTACCAGGTTCCAGGAGATTCTTGACACCAAAGTGTTTGTACAGCAACCTCCTCTGACTGCCCTCAGGAGAGGTGTACCCCCTTAGAGCAGCAGCCTCCTTCTTAATACACCAGCAGAGGCTCTTGAACATGTTCTGATTTTTTTTTCCCATCCTTTGCCCAAGGCTTTTAAGCAACTTTTCTCCAAAATGTAAATATTTTTGGCATGAGCTCTTGACCTACCTCAACCAGCAGACCAAAAACAGCAGCCAAGCCTGAATGCTCCCTGATCTCCTCTCCTCACGTGTTACTTACTGCTTTTTGTTAAGGTGGTGCACCGCGATCTCAAGCCAAGTAATATTCTCTACATGGATGAGTCGGGGAACCCAGACTCCATCAGGATTTGTGACTTTGGGTTTGCCAAGCAACTGAGAGCGGAGAACGGGCTGCTCATGACTCCCTGCTACACGGCCAACTTCGTCGCCCCTGAGGTAGGATGGCATTTCAAAGCCCTGAGTAATAAGCGTGTCCTAGGGAGCAACCGTTCCTCCCTCTCTCCCTTTTCCTTGCTGCCTTTACAAGAGGAGCAAGGCAGAAACCAGGGTCCCGGCACTTGCACAGCCTCTATTACCATAAGTTTCCAATTCCCGGTCTTGTCAGGCCAGTTGTTTTTCTCCAGACAGAAGTCAGTATCTGTCTCAGACTGACATACACACTGATTTGGCTCATTGCTAGGATAAACACCCTTTTTTCTGTAGCTGCTTCTGCTCAGACTGCTTTCCCTCTAGCGCACTGCATTAGAACAGGATAAGGCTTAAAAGGGAAATCTTGGTATCAGGAATAAGACTCAAAAGAAAAATCCATGCTTGAAATCCTTACCATGAAGAAGTTGGTGGAAGCTTTATTGTTGACTTCATTGAGCTAAAGAAACATCTTTCCTCTTGTGCCTTCCTAGTACCAATCCCCCCTGTTATGTGGGATGTAGGAAAGAGCTGCTTTCCCATTTTTACAGACAGGGAGATGGAGGCAGACCAAACAGCCTGCCCCAAACATGGGGAGAGGTGGCTCTGCATTGCTGGCAAGTGCTATTTCTTTCACGCAGCCCCACAGGAGTGGGTTTGGGTCCCGTAGCTGTTTGAATGGCTTGGGCTGTTTGCTGTGTTTGACCCTTGAGACATTCATAGCTGCTTCCTTCTGATGAAGATTAATTTCCTGGGTAATTGTCCATTTCTTGGAGTGATGTTTATCAGCAATTTTAGTATTTGCAATACACAACTTCAGATGTGTGTCTGACTATCCTTGTTATGGTCCTTATAAGAAAAACAGAAAATTATTGCCTTTCATACTTCATCTGTCCTTTACTGTCAAATACCACTTTCTCTCAGTTGGTATCAGTCAGCAATCTTTTCTTCCCTGTAACTCCCCTTCATCCAATGTTCATCTGCATGGTATGTAACTGGGAAGTGAAAAATGGGATGATCTTTCTGTACATGGTCCTTTCGTAACATCAAAAGATATAGGAATCACAGCCTTCCAGCAAAGAATTTGTTAAATTGAGACCATTGCCAGGGTAGTATAAATTCAAAGCAGATTTTTTTCAGAAAAAAAAAAAAAAAAAAGTCTTCCATTGCCAAGACAGATTGGTTTGTTATTTTATTGCTGTTTGGTGTTGGCTTTTCATTTTAGAAACTGCAATGCGCTTTTTAAAATTTATCAAAATAAGTGAAAAAAAGTTCTGTGGCAGCACCACAGTTCAGCTTTTAAACCAAGAAGTAATCATGTTTGCAGGATTTAAAGCACTGAAAGATATTTTCTCCAAGATACCATGCGCTTAAAATAGGTGTAACTATTTTTCACGATGGGCTATTTTGTAAAATGTCTGTAACCACAAATGTTGCCAGCCCTATGCAGTTTCAGATCAGACTCTTCTGATTTGAACTGAAAGCAGAAATCATGCTCCCAGATGTTTGTGATGAGTACGACAGGTCCTGCTAATACAGGAGATGCTGGAGATTAACTGAAACATTACCAGAACGGGCAGAGAGCTTACATAAAATCTTAAGTGCTTTTACATTTTACCTGCAATATAATGCTGCCCTCCAGCCTAGACTTGACTGTCATATTCCCTGTCTGAACCCTGCTGCGATGTCTGTCATACGCCCATGAAACTAAACAAGGCAGCAGAAGGTCAGCTGAGCTGATGACACAAGGGGACTGTGAGAGGAAGGACGACATATTTGCCTGCTTGGATCTCCATTTGTTTTGGAAACATTTAATTTGGGGTTTTGATGAGAACATGAGCAAAGATGAAGCCTACCCGAGAGAAGACGCACGCTGCCACCTAGTGCGAGTCGTGCTGTGTGCAGGGAGCGAAGAGCCAGCCTGGGTCTGAGCAAAGAGCCAGCCAGGGAAGAAGATGCAGCCTGCTTGTTTCCCTACTGATGCTGTAGGAACCTTTTGGGTAAAGTAAAAATACTTCATTCTGTAGTCTCCCTCCAAAATCTCTGAAGAACTGCTGTTTTGGCGTTTGAAATTATGAGATTGTTCATTAGCTTTCATACCCATAACAGTCCTGCTTGTGTCACAACTGAGAAAAACCTATATTCATAACACTGCTAATCCAATAAATCAAAGCCTATAGAAATAAAAGGGAGTTGGATAAATAGCTGAGCCATTACCAGAACAAACAGAGCAAGTTTGTTGTTTGTCACCGCAATGCCCTGCCATGTGTGGTGCTAAGGACCAGCTCATGCCTGTATTTCTGATCCCACCAAATTCACAAGATGACCTAAACCCCTTCATGGGTGGTAAATTCTTCAGCATCCATTAGAGCAGGACACCGCTGCATCTTTTGCAAAGCTCCTTCCTCGACTGATTTATTTCTAAGACACGTGCCTGTTACTGTTTGATAATATCTACCCCCTGGATCAAACACTAATCTTTTTGGCCAAGATTTCCCACACTTGGTCCTGCCAGCTCCATGCTCTTGCTTTAACAACAGTTGCACAGACCTGCTGGAGACATTTTCAAATAGCAGCAACGCTAACTGATAACTCTCACCAGGTCCTGTTGTTATCTGTGGGGTGAAGTTGCTGCTGATAAAAAGTAATTGCCAGCAAAGCTTCCCTAGACACTGGCATAGAGTCAACAGCCCTGTTATCTAGCAGCATTCTGGCAAACTGAATGATAGCACACAGCAAAACCTGCCCATCATTTTGGGGTTGTGCAACTGTCTACATTTAGCCCATACCAGGGGCTAAACTAGAGCAGTTATTCTATCACCTGATGACCCCTCCTCACCTGAGAGGGGGAACTGGGAAAAGGAGAGAAAATCCAAACATTGAAGCAAGGACAGATTTAATGAAAACAAAAATTTTTTATCCGCAAAACAAATAAAGCATGCAAAGTCATTCTCAGCCTAGAACGCTTGGCCCTCACAGTCCTCAAGGGAAGAGCAAGCAGGACCACCGAGCCAAGCCTTCTTCTTCCTCAGCAAACCTTCTCCCTTTATAATGACCACAACACTATGGGATGGGCTGCACCTGTAGCTCACTCAGGTCAGCTGCCCTGGCTGGCTCAAACTGCTGATGGCTTACTTAGCATGGCTGGGCTGTGGTTCTGTCCCAGCCAAACTAGGACAGTACCCTCTTACTTAATACCCTACTCCACTAAATATCATCACTGCCCCATTTTTCTGTCATTTGCCTTGGACTTGATTGTCCTTGGTTATTGGAGGAAGATAGTGGTGGCAATGAAAACGTAACTGTTCAAGACGCAATGAGCATGGCCGCACCAAAAGATAAATGTTGGATATTCAGTCTCACAGGTGAAGCAAGAAGCAACTGAGTTTGTCAAATAGCAAAGAAGGTTTTCCCATAAAAGCTAACTTTAGTAGAGGGGGAATGAATGCAGGAACTAAAGAAACAGAAACAAATAAAACAGACAAAGTGTGTATATGATGTGCAGGAGAAAGGGGCAGAAGCAGGATTTTATCAGCTTTGTCAACAGGAGAAATGTGACTTTTTCCAAGTTGGTTTTTTTTTTTTCCAGGTAGCAAATGTTCATTCAGCAGCATACCTGACAGATGGTTGCTTTACCGCCTATCATTTGTAAAATCTGTCAAGGCAACTTTTTCTGAAATTGTTTTTTCCTAGCAGTGCTTGGTCTTTTCTGTGATAGACTTCAGATAGCTGAAATCACTCCTGGGTAATAAGGCTGCAGGTCAGAGAAAGGCTTGCTGAATTTGTACATTCCTCTTTCATGTGCTTTGCAAAAAATGACTGTACCTACAGATCCATCAGAAAGGGACAAAACTCTCCTTGTGTGTCAGAACTGAATAAAGAGAAGGGTAGTTTGCTTTTATGAGCAAGTGGAAGATCTGGGGGTTGTCCCTGAGCTTTTCTGAGCCAAGCAGAAACAAAGTTCTTCCCCTAATCTCAGCAATGCTGCCTCAGTTGGTGAGTTCACTTCCACTTGCACCTGCACTGACTCAAATTGGCATTTCTTCTAGTATGCACTAGCATAAATGAAATCTAGATTTTACCCTTACTGCTATAACTTGCCATCCTGTACCTATGTTGAATCTACTGGTCAGGTATCTGCTGAGTACCATGGGTCTTGTTTTCCCCATAGGAAAAAGCAATCAAGTTTTAGCCTGTTATATGTTAAGTCCAATCTAAATGTGGACACTTTTCTTAATACAGGAGTAAAATAAGCTTTCTTTGCAGTTGTCATGCATTTTTACTAGTCTGACAATAGATATGTGCTAGTGTGCATCCATTTGTTATATCAAATCCAAACTGAGCTCAGACATGCTTATCACTGTCACTCAGCCCTACGCTTGTTGCATCCACAGTGTTCTTGGTAACCTTTATGTTAGGAGCATACATTTCGAAGTATTAATGAGCTTTGAAACATTTTAAAACACAGAAACGATGTTCTGCTTTACTGGTGTTAGATGGTCAGAGAGGGTCCCAGAGCCTCCAACAAACTGCATTCATCACAGTCACTGTGGAGGTGACTGATGTGCTGGGTTTGAACACTAACCAGCTCACGCCAGCCTGGGCTTCACCTTGCTCCACACCACTCCTGAACATTTTGATCCCTGGGCAGCCACCTGTTCAAGCCAGATATGCGGTTAAGCCCTGGAAATGCTAGCAGATACAACCACTAATCGGTGCTTTTTGAAGATCAGAAGCTAAAAATTCAGGAATGTAGATTAACCTCTTTTCGTCTCTCTCTTTCCTTCACATAGGTCCTTAAACGCCAAGGTTATGATGCAGCCTGTGACATCTGGAGCTTGGGGATCCTACTGTATACCATGTTGGCAGGGTGAGTGAAGAGGTTTTCCTAGAGCAGCAGTCTCCATTGGACTTAGCACTTCAGCACTGATTAAGTCAGAAAGCAGTCACAGATAGAGACAGCAAACTTTCTGGCCTCCTTTGAGAAATGTACTCTGTTGTATGAGGCAAGAAAATAGATGCCAAGACCTAGCATGAGAATAAGTTTTTCTAGAATGCATAAATATCTTTGACGCTTTGCAAGTTGCTTAGGTTTTTAACAGCCTCTGCCCATAAGCATGCACTGAGACCTAGACTCCTAAAAGGCTCACTCACCACTTAAGCAGAGTGAAAGTTCCACACTAGGAGAGGAGTGCAGGGGTATGAAGAGCCATACCATGTTCACCTAATCCATAAGAGGACATTCATTGATTTCTATTAATACATGTATCCTCCTCAGCTTCATTCTTCTACTGTTGTTGTTATCAAGGTATCTGAGCACCTTTAAAGGCTAATAAAAACCAACCCAAACATAGTTTTCAGATGTTATTTGAAAAATAGGCTGCAGAAAGGACAGAAAGTAAATGAACAGACCATCAAGAACAGCAACAGACAGCATGAACTTTCAGGCGGTACTTGGCACTACCAATGTGCTGGCTACAGTTAAATATTGACACAAGAAGGCCCAGAGAAAGAGACAGACTGAAATAAGCGGTGAAGGACAGGATTAAGATGTGCTGAGGTGAACCAGAAACACAGTATGCAAACCCAATCTGGAGTTATCAGACCCCTGAATTTCATTTCTCAGGGTATCATATGTGCACATTTATTGTACCTAAGTGCAGCTTGAAACTTTTCAGTGACCTCTCACAGCTCTTTAATCTGCTTCATGATCATTCAGCTGTGGCAAGAAGCTTGGATTCATTCCTAGATTTATATAGAAAACAAAGAGTTGGACCCTACCTGTTATTCATGTCTCTTGCCTCATGGATTGTAGGAAAGGTGCCAGGAGTTTCTATCCCATCTATTTTGTTCCTGAGTACAAATGTGTTCACCATTAGCTGAAACATATTGTGACTTTCTGGGGCAGTCTCCAAGTCTGCTGGGAGCTCCAAAAACCTGTTTCTGTTTGGCTAATGCCATAGATTTGCAGTGATACACAACCAGAATCAGCAAAATAAAATCACACATTACCCACAGTCACATTTGTTTAGCTGATTATATTCAAAATGCTTTTTTAAAAATGTGAAAAAAAAATCCCTCCAAATATATTTGAATCTGAAATACAAATGGCACAACTTAGTGGATATTAAATTTACCAACAGGTGCTATCAACTTGTATCTCACTTTTTTCTGCACTTACAAGAGAAAATAAGCCTAATGCAAACAGTTGAGAGGTGCTGACTTTTTAGTTGGCACCACTGCATTTAGGGATGGTCTTGCTCTTCCTCACCAGAGGGGTGTTAGTAGGAACTGACTATTATTTGCATCCAGGATTTTATTCTTCTCCCACCATCAGTATGAGCAGAGAGGGCTCAGACAGCCAGGACTGGAGCACAAGCCTGGGATCCTGTTAATGCAGGTAGTGACAGACCTTGGAGTTTTAGCCAGGCCTTAACTCTTAGTGCAGACTTCCTGATAGTTACAGATTGGAATAATATTACATATCTCTTGGGGCTGAACTTCTGTGAAGTCTGAAATGTTTTTGAAAATTAGAAAATACATCTTGAGGAATTGGATTTGCTACTAGAAACCAGGTGGGATAGGAACTGTGGCCTAATCAGCTGATTAATGGTCTGAAAACCACTCTGGCAAGTCTTCAGAAGAGAAAAGACAGATGGAAGGAAAAACATAAAAATTCTAAATGCCCCCTTCTTCTAAACCTACACAGCTGTTCCAAGATTGCAGCGTAAAATTTGGCCTGGTAGATACAGTCAACTGCAAAAATCTTACCACTTGTCACTTTATGAAGACAAAAAGTGTGCCCTCTGCATGTGACACTAATTTTATAAAGCTGGGTGCATGTTACTAGTAATTTCTGACTGGCTAAATCAGGAAGTAACCTATTGAAGATCATTAGTTTTGCCCAACAGACTTGCACATTATGGTTAACAAAGCATTGCAAAATAGATTATAAAGGGTTCTTTTTTTCTTCCCCTTTTTTTCTGTTTCAGATCCTAAATTTCTCCTTTATTATTTTTATGCTTTCTTGCCATTATCAAGGTACTTCTGTTGGCAATAAAGCAGAGTTAAAACAATTAAAGAGGTAAAAACCTGTCTATTTATAAAAAGAATATTTAATTCCTAAAAAATGAGAACAGAACAAAAATTTTAAAAAACAATTAAGGAATCAGTCTTTTCCTCTGCAGAACAACTTCATATGAGGAACCACCAGACTGTATAGTTTGAGTGAAAATGAAGCAGTGATGTCTGTGGTCCATTCTGGAACCAAATTCCCATTGTAATCAGTGGCAGTTTGCACTAGATCCTAGAAATCATATACTTGCAAATAACACTGTATTTTTTTTCTCTTTTTAAAAATAGGTTCACTCCTTTTGCAAATGGACCAGATGACACCCCAGAGGAGATCCTGGCCAGGATTGGCAGTGGCAAATATGCACTTACAGGAGGAAACTGGGATTCAGTATCTGACACTGCAAAGGTCAGTGAACACTTTCTCTGATTTTTTTCTTGTCATCTGAAATGGACTTGCAGTGTGCAGTTTTAACCAACTTAAGAGATAGTCAGAAGGGTTATTTCTCAGTGCCTCATGAAATAAGAGCTTGCTTCTTTACATTTCTACCACTGCATGAAGTAGTGAGTCAGGACTTTTGGTAGTTCATTTCATTAAACTAAAGCATAATATGGCACCGTCTCAATGCTCTTAAGATTTAAATAGCACAAAATGCTTTTTTTCTTGGTGCAACTGAACTTTTAAAAGAAGTGTAGGGTTGTCAGTGCCACAAATATATGGTCTATATGTGTATCACCTTTTTGCTCCTCAAAGTTAACCAGGAGCAGGCAGTTTACAAACTAGCATTTTTAACTCCTGTACAGTTCACAGTTTAGGCTGCCCATCTACCACAGAGCATGAAAACCCTAGGAGATAAAATTCATCTGGTGCTGGGACTTTTAAGCATGGCTATGCACTAGTCTATGAGACAGGTAGACGGGCAGGAAAACTGGCAATCTTCCAGTTGCCTGGCATTAATCAGAAACTTTGACATGATTTAGAGATTCCTGCAACAGATTTCAGTTTCAGCAAATGGTAGTATCTAATGGAAGAACATTGATATATCCCACCACAAAACTGCAAGCAGTCCTAGTAACATAGAATCATAGAATCATTAAGGTTGGAAAAGACCTCTAAGATCAAGTCCAACTGTCAACCTAACACCACCATGCCCACTAAACCATGTCCCAAAGTGCACATCTAAACATTTTTTGAACACCCCCAGGGACGGTGACTCCACCACTTCCCTGGGCAGCCTGTTCCAATGCTTGAAAACCCTTTCAGTGAAGAAATTCTTCCTAATGTCCAATCTAAACCTCCCCTGCTGCAACTTGAGACCATTTCCTCTCGTCCTATCGCTTGTTACTTGGGAGAAGAGACCAACCCCCACCTCACTACAGCCTCCTTTCGAGTAGCTGTAGAGTGATAAGGTCTCCCCTCAGCCTTCTCTCCTCCAGACTAAACAACCCCAGTTCCCTCAGCCGCTCCTCATAAGATTTGTTCTCTAGAACCTTCACCAGCTTTGTTGTCCTTCTCTGGACACGCTCCAGCACCTCAATGTCCTTCTTGCAGTGAGGGGCCCAAAACTGCACACAGTATTTGAGGTGCAGCCCCCCCATTGGCGAGTACAGGGGCACGATCACCTCCCTACTCCTGCTGGCTACACTATTTCTGGTACAGGACAGGATGCTGTTGGGCTTCTTGGGCACCTGGGCACACTGCTGGCTCATGTTCAGCCAGCTGTCAACCAGAACCCCCAAATCCTTTTCTGCCGGGCAGCTTTCCAGCCACTAATCTTGCTGCCAACACCCATGAGCCTCACAATGTGTTTTTATCAGATGTCCAGTTTTGAAATTAAAAAGTTCAGATGTCGTAGAACTGATCTCATTGAATTTTAGCCACCTGTTAGATTTCTATTCTAAGCTTCTCTTGTAAGCATGCTTTGGAGTCAGTGAGGAGATGCCTCCAGATGGCATCCTCTCTAGGTAGTTTATCACCCCTACAAAGTCACCAGTAATTAACACTCACTCAATAAGCTGAATACCCTCCACGTTGTCTTTTGACTGGATTATCAGATGAGAGTTGAACATCACTCTTGAAAACTTTGAGTATCAGATTTTACACTTAAAAAGTATAAAGCATATCTAAAGTGCATCCTTCTCTCCATTGGATACGTTGGTGATGACACTGCCATCGGGTGCAATACCTGCACTGCTATTAATTACTTTTTCCCTCTTACTGTTTTCTTCCTTTTAAACCCAGGACATTGTGTCTAAGATGCTTCACGTAGACCCTCATCAGCGCCTCACGGCAGTCCAAGTCCTAAGACATCCATGGATAGTGAACAGGGAGTACCTGTCTCAAAACCAACTCAGCAGACAGGACGTTCAGCTGGTGAAGGTACGTACTACACCCCTGCCTCTTCCTTCCTTGCAGAATGAGCTGTTATTTGTGTAAATATTGTCGAAGGTGACAGAGGAATTGGGAAGACTATTTGCCACAGAGGCCAAATTTAATGTGGTTTTGTATTAACTGTAAAGATTCTTGACTTGTCACCTGCTTGATAGTTTTAACTTCAAGCTGCACTGTAATGACCTGGTGGCATTCTGTGCACATACTGCTGCCCATCACTTTGAATCAGAAACACTCCAGCTGTTTGCCAGCCTAAATGTTGTTATCATTTCATGGAAATCGTCCATGCACCTCCATTTTTTCAGGGGAATGAATAGGGGTAGGGAGGGGAAATGCATCAGAGAACTGAATTTCAGCCCAGCATTTTCTCTTTCTCTATTTTACAGGGTGCAATGGCAGCCACTTACTTTGCTTTAAACCGAGCACCTCAGGCACCAAGGCTGGAGCCTGTATTGTCCTCCAATCTGGCTCAGCGGCGGGGCATGAAAAGACTTACCTCTACCAGATTGTAGCAGTACCCTCAAAAGGCCTCTTTGAAAACCCACAGTTTATTATTTGAGAAATTCATCTTTACTTGGCTAGCAGAACTTTTTTGGACAACCTGCACATGAAATCGCCAGAACTAGTAGAAGCCCAGCATAAGGCAAAGTTCTCCTTTGCTCCGTCATTTCTTTTACATTCCAGCCAGGGTCCCAAATTAAACTTCACAAAGATGTGCCAATTTTGCCAGTAGCTCTGTTTCCTTACTGAGATAAAGCCAAATAAAGTAGGTGTGCTCCATCCCTCCCACCCTAGGAAATACTATTTTTGAGTCCTTAAGATGTTCCATGGGAACACTGTTTTCATTTTGTTTCTCAAGAAAAGCACTTTTTGCTATGAAGAACACAGTCAGGTTTGAATGTTTTCAGCTGTTCCAGTATGCGTCATCATGAAGTGACTTCGTTGGTCACCAGTAGACATCTACTGATCGACACTCACCCCAGCAAGAGTGAAGGCTGCAGAGAAACATGAATAATACCTTACTTGAAGCAAGTGCTATACAGCATGACGAGTGAGAGCTGTCAGTGGTGGAAATACCTTCTGATTTCAAGAAATCTTTTGCACTTTGCCCCTGCCCTCTCTGGATCGAAGCCAACGCTGCTCGAGGAGCACATGCCACCAGCCCTGACTTACTCAGAGGTCTCTGAGAGCAGAAAACCTCTGAGAAACTTGGTCCTCTGAGGAAGTGATTTGGTCTTATGAGACTGTGGGAGAGCATTCACGTAAAACAGTGTGAGTAAAAGCCTGTGGATCAGGGGAGAAAAAGGTGTCTGGTCTCGGCCAGCAAGCAGGAGGTCTGGGAGGACTAGGTGAGGCGGCTGGGGAACCAAGCAGAGGCAGGGAAAGGCGCAGGTGACTTTGAGGACAGTAGGCAAAAAGACCCGTGGCAGCATGGTGGGGAGTACTGCCAAAGGGAACTAGCATGCACATGCTGTGGGGGCAAACTGTGACTCCCTTTAAAAGCGAGGGACAGTCCCTCTTCAGCAGCTGGTATAGAAGAGGGTGGGTGAGTGGCTGGGCTGCCAAAGGGCTGTGTGGGTTGGTGCAGCCGTCCTCCCACGCCATCACTGAGTTTGCTCACAGAGACTGGCTCTGGTGGGCCAGAGTGCCACCCTGGAGTGAGTGAAGCCATTTCCAGTTATTGCTCCCTGCCCTTCCCTGGCTGCTCACCCGAATCCACCTCCATCACCCAACTTTTCATGTCCCTGCCTGGCTGTTCTGCTGTAGCAGAGGTAAACTCCCTGTGCCATGTGTGTGTGGAGAGTACCAACTTCTGAAGAGTCCAGCTAACTCTGTTATAAGCTTTAATAATAATAAATTATGAGGAGAAACAGGAGGATGCTCTGCTTTATATTTATATAAATATGTACATGTGTATTTATATACATATAAAACAAAAGTTCTGTACCCTAATACCCGGATTTTCCAGGTTCAGGGAAAGAAAACCTTGTTGAAACGGTCTCAGCAAAATGGACCTTTTTTCTTATTCCCTGATTTCAAAGAAAGCGAGCAACGTTTATGGTGCCAGATGTGAAATATTTTTTTATTCTTTTTCTTACCCGTCTTGGCTTATGGTGGTCACAAGCTGACCAGGATTCTTCTTTGTACTGCTTCTGTTAATCTTTATTTTCCAAGTAAATTTTGTCACCTCAGATGCTTTGTGGGAAAAGCTAATATGCTATGTTGGCTTTTTTTCTGTTGTGATGGGAAAAAAAAAAGTGAACATGGAGCTTCATATGCTAGAGATGGTAATTTTTCCTTGCTGGGTAGTATGTGCATCTCAGTGCTGGACTGGAATTACCAGATTGTTGCCTCAGAGTGTCCAAGGAAACAAGGAGTTGCATTTGCTATAGCAATATGCTTCCTAAAACTAGCTCTGTTCCAACGTTGACTGAAATTTGTTTGCATTACTCTATTTTTAAATTTATTCTTAATAATTTAAACCGATATTTAATGTTCAGATTTATGTGCTGTGCACAGAGGACTGCTGCAAAGCAGCTCTCCTTGAAGCCCTTCTCTTTTGTAGAATAAACAATGCTGTGAAACTTCATATAGTGGCTGAATTGGCTTGGACTGAAGTGTGCAAACACTCACAGGTGTGTGTCTGTGGTCATATAGGCAGCAGCCCTCGTCCTCTCCTCCAGCTAAGCTGTGCTCAGTATCAGCTTTTTGCTGCCTTTACACTTTTGCTCTTTTTAGAAGGTAAATTTCATATATTTCTGCTAGCAGCACACTGCGAGGCGAGTCCACAGGCAGGGGATATCCTGGCTGATGCAGAAACGCTCTAGCCAGGCCTTGTTTCCCTGGAAGACTTCTATCCTGGAAGAAGGCAAGGTGGGCACAAGAATGCTAAGGGCAACCTGGAGGGAGGGCTGGATTTTCTGGAGTCCCAGATGATTTGTGCTGTTTCAACAAAATATATTTTTAATGGTCAGTGTAATCATATTGTATATGGGCAGAAAGAGT